AAAAAAAAAACCGGAGGTAAAAAAAAAAACGGTAACCTGGTTGCCGAGTTCACGAAGTGAATTGGCTTGTTTTACAACGTCTTTGCCAAGAGACGAAAACCCAATCCCGACGGCAAAACCGGGGGGGGCGGCTTGTTTTACAACGAGAGGGAGAGAGCAAAAGAGACACAGATTGGGAGAGCGAGTCGAATTTGATAAACAACGTGTTGCTTGTTTGCCGAGTAGAATGTCGGTCTACCTGACCAGCCTGCTGAGGGGTTGATGCCCGTCTCTGGACGGTTGAGACGAGGGAGAGTAGGAAGAGAGAAGACAGAAAGAGGACACAGAGAGGGAGACACGCTACGTATTTTTGGAGTCAGCTTCTTATCGTCGCGGCAGATGTGGTCCGTGTCGTTTCATTTATTTTCACGATCTTTCTACCCTTCCATCCAATTGTTTTCTCACCTGGTGTTCCGCCGTTGCAATTATTGTCGTGACATTTTTTTCATTAAAATGGTCCAGGCGGCCGGCACGAGGTCTGCTCCATCGGTTGTTTTGATTCTTATCCGTCCTCCCGCCCTGTTCTGTATTCATCCATGCTTTACCCCCCGTTTTCTCTCACCTCGTGCTGTTCCCCCCGCGTTTTGGTAGCAGCTCCTCGTTTCTCTGTTTGCATCCGCACCATGTGTTACCCTTTCCCTCGCCTCGCGCGTTCCGTTTTTTTCTCGTGTTGTGGCACTGGATATTTGTTTCCGTTCCGTTTTGTACATGTGCTTGTTTCCGTGTTCATCCATGTTTTGACCTTTTTGTTGCTCTCACCTCGTTGTTGTTGGGGTTGCTTGGCACGGATCCTGTTTTCTCCTTTTCTTTATTCAGCTGCCGCTTTCTGTAGGCATTCGCCATGTGTTGCCCGTTCCCTCACCTCCCGTTCCGTTATTGGTCTCGTGTCGTGACGATTTGCCAGGCGCAAAGGCCGAGGTCTGCGCCATCGGTCTCCGCAACCCGTGGCGGTGTGGCTTCGACCGCTTGAACGACAACCTCTACTGCGGTGACGTCGGACACACCCTTGTCGAGGAGATCAACTTGATCGAGTGAGTTGGCCGGCTAAGTAAAAACAGACGCTCTCGTGCATGCATGAATGCTTATCGACCTTGTGCATGCCTAGGCTACGGCAACGGTCGAGTTGGGGAGAGTGGTCGCGCTCATGCATGCATGCCTATCGATCTTGTGGGGTGAGTTGGTCAGGGAGGGACGCTCTCGTGCATGCATGCATGCCTATTCTTGCGGCAACAGCCAAGTTTGAGAGGGACGCTGCCGCCGCGCATACATGCCTTTAGACTACGGCAGCAACAGCCCGCAAAATGTCTCCCCGTTTTGTTGATGGCTTTGCCGGGGTTGGTGAGCTGCGACGGTGATCGACCGCACGCACGCAAAGAGTGTTGTTTCGAATGGGGACCCCTCCTTCTCCCCGTCATTCCGCATTCCATTTTCGGTGTCCCGTAAAATTCACTGTCCGTGGCGTCAGCAGCAACCTCCCGCCGTCTGAGCGTAGATCGAGACAATGCTGACAGGCAGTGAGCTCCCATTCGCTACAGTTGCTCCTGCCTGTGGTGGAATGAAACAATCATCCAACCACCCGTTTTTCCTCGTCTATCTTGACGACAAACTGGGGCAACGACAACCATTCCACGCACCAACTCGCCATTTTTGCTTTCTTTGTATCTTGACCACACCGACGACACCCAGGTGCAACAACAACAGCAACTGCTGCGGAGAAATTTAACGATCATCCCACCCCAACTCAACTCACCTCGCCTTGCTTTCTTTTATCCTGACGACGACGACCTGTACATACATGCATAGGTGCGGCAACAACTACGGGTGGTCGAGGTTCGAGGGTTCCCGCTGCCAGGAGGCCGTCCAGGACAACGAGTTCAACCCCCCCTGCGACGGCGTAGACCGGTCCGGCTTCACCTACCCGCTGTTCGAGTACTGCCACCCGGACTACGACTCCACCGACGCGGACGAGCAGGAGTTCACCGGAGGCGCTGACACCTGCGGGGACCGGTTTGTGGTAGGGAACTGCGTCATCGGGGGTTACGTGTACCGGGGCAACTTTTTCTCGGACCTTTTGGACGGCGCCTACATCTTCGGGGACAGCACCATGAGGTAGGGGGGGGGGGCTTGCATGCAGTGTGGCGGGTAGGCCATTGGCCACGGGTACTCTCCAGAGAGGACAGGGGGGGGGTCTAGGTAGTCATAGCCGTGCATGCTGTAGTCGTTAGACCATTGACCTCCTCGCATCTCATTTTTGCAAAGCCGGGATGGAGCACACCTGGTTTTCACCGGACCAAGCTCTAGGTAGCAGGGAGGGGGGGGGTGGGGGGGGCTTGCGTATTGCCGGTAGACCATTGGCCACGCGTCCTCTCTCTAGAGAGGACGACGACCGGTGGGGGTAGTCTTAGCCGTCCATCATGCCGCAGGCGTTTTTGGCCATTGACCTCGCAGCACTCCTACTAGGGGGGGGAGAGGGGCGAGGGTACTAACAGTCGTGCACGCCGTACTCGTTGGACCATTGACCTCGAACCAAGGACTGGGCTCGTCGGCCCTCCTCCTGCTGCTGATGGCGTTGCTTCTGCGTCGACGATGATGGTGTTCCAGTGGGGGGCATGCATGGGCACGCTTAACCCCGCGGATGGCGTGTGTTACACCACGGATTCAGCTGACCCTAGTGATTAGCTTGCCAACCTTTCGGGTTTTTGTGTTTTATGTTCTTCAAGAGGGAATCGTCCTCGACAGACGTTTCATGATCGTGACCTCGACATCTTCCACCATTTTTTGTTTTGGCGTTCTGTTGATGTTTAGGAACATCTACTTCCTGAGGGAAGAAGAGGCCGGCTGGGCCGTTGGCACAATCATCAGCGACGCGAGCGTGCAGATCGTCAGCTTCGCCGAGGATGTGAACGTAAGATAAGAAGCCGAAGAAACAGGCGCTGACTTTGTTTTCCTCCAAACGTCCGTCAAGATTTGGACACAAGAAGCGATCGCGTGCTTTTTTTTTTTCCTCCAACGGGAGCGAACACGTGTGGGTTTTTTTTTTTTCCGCATAACATCAAATGCTTACTCACGTGTCTCCGAGCAGTAGCCACCTTATCGCCTTGTGCTCCAGAGCAACGGGGGGGGGTGGAGGAGGATTGTCGTGACACCCGGCATGGGCGACACACCGTACAACGAGAACAGTGTGCCTGACGAGCTGACGGACATTACCCTTTCCCTTTGTCCGCAATATTTTCTTGTGCTCAACGCTTTCATTGCTGGTGCTATTTTCGGACGCTATGACAGGGTGAGATCATGATGCTGGACTACCAGCACAGGATGTACCACATGCCCTGCGGCGACCTTTGCGCCACCACCTGCCTGGAACAGGCGGAGGACCAGCCGACCTACGAGGTACGTATCCCCTCCCCCCCATGATACCCATTTTCAACTTTGTGTCTCCCCTCCGGACATCCCCTTCCACCAACAACCAAGCAACAAAGACTTTGAGAGCCGACATCTCTGCCTGAACGCCCTGCCCTATATAGGCATCCCTTCTGCACTCCGCGTATCCCCCGTGACATCCCCGTTGGCGCCATCTGGTTGGCGGCAAGGCTCTGCCTGTATGATAATAACTCGTGACGTCCATCAATAGGCACTGTTTCGATAAGAATTCGATGCCGCCGTGTCCAGAGGAAGATATGTACGTGGTGGCTTTACCCGCAGGTACCGTAACGACGAGGAAGAACCCACGGTTCGGTGAGATGGCACGTACCGTACCGTACCGTACCATGCCGGTGATACCGCAACCCATCGGTGCGATTGACGTTCAGGGTCGAACTGAAGTGTGTAAGTCGATTACCGCATAGGAATCGGTGATGATATCCCACGTATGCATACGCACCGGAGATATATTGTAGCGCACGCCCCTACGATGAAACGTCCTAACACAAAATCATTTACCAGAGTTGATCGCACCGCCGTGCGTTCTCTGGCATCCCTCGTTACGCGTTGCCCTGACCGGCCCAAGCAGAGGGAATATTTCCTTCGTTCCGTTGCATATTGTAGTTGATTTTTCTCGTGGTTGTCGCGTGATGCTTTTCACGTAGTCCGGGCGCCAAGTATGTGTCTGCTCGAGGTGACCCTAGCACAATTAGTAATCGATATATCCATCGGTCCCGAAAGAAAATGACAATCGTGTCGATGAAGGGAGCTGCCAACGTTGATGAAGGATGGATGGCTGCGCCTGGGGGTCAGTTTTTCGATCGAGCGCTTCGAACCCAATGATATTTCCCACGGTATTCGTCGGGTTCGACGGGCAGGCCTAGAAGTTCTGGTTGGTGGTCATCGAACGCCTTCAAGCCTCGCCCAACCCACGTTTTCTCCTCCTCCTCCTCCTCCTCCTCCTCTCCTCCACTCTTTGTGGTGCATGAACAAACACAACATTCACGTGCGGTTGGACGGCGGACTGTAGTCGCTCGGGTGCTACGCCGATGTTGTGACCGACCGCGCCCTGCCCATCCAAGGCCCGAACTGCGGCGAAGGAGAGACGGCCATGAGCCCTGCGGTGAGTTTATAAGTTCAGACAGCAGCCGCGGGCATGTGGCACCCATGTCGTGATTCCGGATGTACGTACAGTGCCGCTTTTGGGGCTCTGGTCATTTCCAATTATTTTCAAATGCTTCAAAAGTTTTGGATAACTTCCAAATTTTGGGAATTTGGAAGTTTGAATAAAACGGCCACAAGAACCACAGAGACAGGCAAAACTTTTAGCGAAGCGAAAAACGACAGAAATTGGTCCCCAAGGAATCAGGGCTCGGCGGTTTGTACCTGTGCTCAACGGTGGCGACGAAATATGTAACTGGTAACTGCTTGTGCTCATCGGTCCCGACCAGATGAGAAAGTGAGTCTTGACCCGATTTCACGTTCTTCTTTATTTTCTCCGGGCCCGTACCACTGCAATACTTGGCTTTCGTCTCCACGAATATTGATGCGAAGTAGCTTGGGCTGATTTGCTTTTCACGAGCCGCTGCGTAATGCCTCTCATGTGTTGACAAGCTTCTTGGTGTTGTTGTTGCGGTGGGCCTCTTGATTCCGAAACACGGATGTGATGGCCCCTGACTTACTTTGTGTGTCCTATAGGTGCGTGCGGAATGATGTTTGGTTGTTTGTCTCAGCTTCTTACTGTAGGACTTGCATGTTTTTTTATTCACACGGCCCTGGTGGTCGCGTTGAGGTAGTGCCTGGCCCACCGCGCTTGGAAATCATTTTCTATCTCGTCCTTCATGACCTTGGTTGCGTGCTTGGTTTCCTTCAGTCGGGGGCCCTACAACACCACCGGTCGCATAGCGCCAGCGGCGACCGTTGTAGATATAGCGCCGGTGAAACTTCTCGGCATCACCGAATCATTCTGTGCGTTGATCAGCGGCGGTCTCTCTGATTCGTCCGGCACATAACGGCTTTGCTGCCCTCCCCCCCCCCCCCCCCCCCCCCCCCCCCCCCCCCCCCCCCCCNGTCCTCACTGCTGTATCCACACTGCTGTTACTTTTTCGAGAGTGGTCGATTTTTTTTCCCTCGTCGCCGTGTCGTGGTTTACGTCTCTTCCTTGTCTGCACGCAGATCTGTGCGTCCTACTGCGAGACGTTGGGCTCCACCTTCTTCGGCGTGCAATTCTCGTTCCAGGTGAGGGGAGAGGAAACTGTAGCTATGTTTAATATAGGCACCTAACGTTGAACACTGTCGGTCCAATATCGCTCCCGCTTTTTTTTTCATTGCATCCAACCTCCGTCCTTTTTCGTGATGTTGGTCCCACGTTTCTCCCTCTGGTGTCCTCCTGGGATGGTGGTATTAGTTAGCCGTGGGATTTTCTTAACGCTCATTTCTCTCCGCGTTTTTCGCGCCCGGATCTCAACAAAACCAGTGCTTCTGCGGCCCGCCTACTGCTGACTACGCCAAGCACGGATCGCTGTCTTCCGACAACTGCGAGTACCTGTGCGATGTAAGTGACGAGTATAGCAACCCATGTTATGGCGGACTGATATGATTCGTCGTCTCCCAGCCAAGGGTTTGACAACAAGCCGTCGGTTTCACTATGTGGAGCTGCAATGTAGGCCGGAAATAGCCGCCTTGTATGTACGTCATGCGAACATTCTTTCTCAGAATGTTTGCCATAGCTGCTTCGGATTATTAGTTGCGAGTGCCTGTGCCAGGAGAGTGACGAGTAGAGCAACCCACCTTGACTGACCTACCTTTCGGTTGAAGATTAAGGCGGTTGCATTTTGTCATGTAGTCATGTACTGCAGTTATGCCGAGAGATACAAGTGCATCGTTGTTTTCTTCGGAGCAATCATTTCACACATTGTTTTCGCTTCTCTCGCCTTTGTCATTATTGTCACGTACGTACGTTCGTGCCTTTCAGGCTAACCCGGAGTTCTTCTGCGGTGGATACAGCACCATCGAGGTAAAGCCCCCCCCTCGCAAGGGGGATGATCGCACCACGTTGTGTTAACATGGTCAAGCACCCTCGAGGCAGTTACACAGTGTTTACAACTGTCTCTGGAAGTGAAAGCACCAGAAAATAAATTAATTTCATACGCAGCTGGCATCCGTATGCAAGGAAGTAAGCACAAGATGCCGAACACCCTTAGCAGGATGCAGCGCACNTCCCCCCCGGTGTTTGCTACCGGGGCTGGGTTTTCGTCGCTTGGCAACGACGTTGTAAGACAAGCCAATTCACAACGTGAACTCGGCAACCAGGGTACCGTTTTTTTTTTTTATCTCCGTTTTTTTTTTTGGCGGTAACCATAATGGTGGTCGA